TTGATTAATTCTGTTCCTAAACAGCAGCCCACATTGCTGACCTGGAGGGCGCGCCCCGACGGGGTGTGTGAACCTGTGCACATACTTGCACGCCCCGAGTACATGTACACGTCTGTAGGGATGGATAAACACCCAGACCTGCCACCCACGGAGAATATTTACTCAGGCGATATACGAGTCACACTGCTCTTCTTTCCCCAGATCCTGCAAGCATTAAAAATAAGCCGCTCTGTGTAAACATACTCAGTTTCTTGATTTACATTGGTTCCTGTAAAGGCAGATTTGCACATTTTTGAAGCTCTCTCATCTAACCTCGCCACGCACCATGAAAACCAGAGCCTGAATCGGAGCGTTTCACCGTCACTGCATTTCTCAAGCTCTCCTCCCCGAAGCCCCACAGTCCCCCGTCGGTGCTTTGTAACATCCTGACTTACGCTGCAGACCTATCTGTGCGTCTGCCCCAATGCCAGCCTTCTCGCTGGGGCTCTGTTAGCTCCTGCCCATGGCAGTGCGGGAGTCCACCTGACTTCTGCTCAAAGGGATGTGCCTGTATGACAGCGGGCGCAGACCCAGCCCTAGGGTGGCAGCTGCTCCTCCCTCCTCCTTCCTCGCTCTGCCGGCCCATCTCCCCTGCCTCCCTCCTTCTCACAGCCCACACTTGTCAGCACAGCTGGATTGGTTTCTGGCAGATGCTCCTCATGCCCTTGTCCAGGGGTGAGCGTGGGTGACTGAACGCACCATTTCCCTTAGCAAGATGTAACCTATTTGAACATGGCCGGGGCCCCCAGTCGGGTTGCCCAGCTCTTGGAAGACTAGATGTGGGAGGACAGGGTACGGAATTCTGCCGTTTGCCCAGGTCACCTGGCCGGTGAAGCGGAGGTCCACTCTAGGTCAGGCTGCAGGCACACACTTTTATTTATTCTGAAAGCTTAATGGATCCAACTCTTAATGACATTCAAGAAATCCTGAAGCAGCCTGATTCGTTATTTGGGTAAGCCATGAACTTTCAGGGCACGGGGCCCTGGAGGAAGAATTTACCTCCCTCGGGAAGACAAAGAATTCCATAGAAACCGGTCAGCCTGGCTGAACTCACCACAGCACAGAGCTGGCCATCGCTCAATAAGACCTCTATTGTGTATCTGACGAAAATACACGGAGCTTTTTCTTCCTCGGCGAGCCTGTAATTTAGGAAGTTTTGGTAGTTTCTTTCTTAGCAGTCTCATGCCTTTGATGGGAGCAAAGGATTATATTGATGGAGTATGCAGACATGAAGCAAACTGAACTTGCATTTTGGTAAAATAAGTTCTACTGCTAGGAGTTTGGCTGCCACCAATTGAAACCTGTTCCCAGGTGGGAGAGAAACCGAGCCTCCCCAGAGCTGTAGGGGCGATGACCGTTTTGTGTCCCACTCTGTCAGTGACGGCACCTCCCGGGTGGTCCTTCTCCTTCTCCGATGGAGGAACTGGAATGTGCAGAGCTGAGTGACTTACCCAAGCTTACTACCTGGCGGAGAGAGAATGTGAACCAAGATCTGTCATTCAGATCTTGTCAACGGGCCTTGGAATCTGTATTTCCTTTTGCGTCAGGGACCTCAAAATTGCAGCCCACGGACCCACGTTCAGTCCCACATGATCCGTATGGCTCATAAGTTACGAATGACCTTTACATTTTTAAATTGTTGAAAAAACATCAAAGGAAGAGTCATATATATCATTACACATGAATGCTAGATGACATTCAAATTTCAAGTTCATTTAAATAAAGTCGTATCACAGACACACCCATTTGTTGGTCTTGTGTACTGCTGCTTCCCCAGTTCAATGGCGGAACTGAGCAGTTGACTGAGACCATGAATGGCCCACAAGCCATAGCATTTAGCATGTGAATCTTTACAGAAAACATGTGTTAAGCCCGCTCTGCAGCCTGCAGACACCATGAGAGGTGTGACTCTGTAGGCCTAGAGCCCTGTGGTTATAAACGGGTCCCCACGCTGCCTTTCCAAAATCGCCCTGACCATGAACAGGCCAACATTTCTCCTATCTTTGGAGAGCAGTGATGCTGCATCAGAAAGAAAACACGTGTAAAACAAGAACGGAGGAAACTGCCTGCATCCCTTCAAACTACACTTTGGTGGCTTTCAGAATGCAGAGGAGGCAAGCCCTTCTTTCTCACACTCAGAGTCCCAATTAAAGAGCCACAAAGACAATATGAGTTTTACATAAAGGGGATGTTTCATAGGACTACAGCATTGTTTACCTGCTAGGGCTCCTTCCTCACTCTTTATTGATATTTTGTTTTGAAGCTGCAATTTTGGACTTTTTAGCAATAGAGATAGAGGTCGTTATGTGCTGTGTTGCAACCATGTGTTTTGCTCTCAACAGTAGAGGGAATTTGTCCAGTGTATTGACAGTGGGCAGCAGCCCTGCTTCAGTCGAAGAGGAATAAGAGCAGGTTTGCTTTTCATTTATGTACTTTTTGTTGCCCGTTTCCAACTGCACATCCTAATGACTGGACTCGCATAGGAAAACAAAAATTAAAAATAACAATCGTGCTTAGTGGTGAGGAGTTCTGGAGGTGGATGGTGGTAATAGTTGCACAACCATGTGAGTTTGCTTAATGCCTGCTTAATGCACTGTACACTGACAGACAGGATGGTAAATTTTGTGTTATATGTGTTTTACCACAATTTAAAGTAAAATTTAAGAAAACAACAACAATAAAGGCCCCATAAATATCAATTTTGGAAAAAACAATCTCAAAAGCTTCAAGGAAGAAGATTTTTACATATAATTCCATTAACAAAATAAAAAACTGAAACTCTCAGAGAACGGATTCTGAGAGATATGAAGCTTTATCAGGAATAAATGAGCATCCATGTGTGTGTTTGTTCACATGTGTGTGCGTGTGCTTATGCATGTGTTTTCCAGAAGATATTCATGTCCACTTAATTACTTCCCTCTGTTAACACTATCAATATTGGAAATAAAATGCTTATATGAATTCCTCCATTTAGAATAATCTCTCTTTTTTTTAAATAAGGCAAGTATTTTTTTATATATATTTATTTTTATTGATTTCTTACAGAGAGGAAGAGAGAGGGATAGAGAGTTAGAAACATCGATCAGCTGCTTCCTGCACACCTCCTAGTGGGGATGTGCCCGCAACCAAGGTACATGACCTTGACCAGAATCGAACCTGGGACCCTTCAGTCCACAGGCCGACGCTCTATCCACTGAGCCAAACCGGTTAGGGCTAGAATAATCTCTTTTAATGCAAAATATCAAGCATCCTTGCAGCAGCAACAGAAACCAAAATAAAAAGTAACTATGTCTGAGAACCTCTTGTAACTAACATCTTACACCCGCGACAGCAAAGACAGAGCCCACATCCAGTGAGCGCCTATCAGGTTTTTCTGTAGCACACGTTCAAAGGCTGTTGTCAACACCAGGGTAAGAGAAAGCTCTGAAAAAAGAGGAAACCACAATCGAAACCTTATATTATAAATGGAATGTAGAGATGAGAGGGCCTGCCAGTCTTAATGAAAACCCTTCCTCTACAATCATTAGCTCGTAAAACTGAAACCAGCATGTGCTGGATGTGGGCAAATGTCTTATTTGACTCCTGTCCGCTTTGCCAATGTTTTTCGAAGGTGAAGAAGATGCAGTCCCGCGAGTGGAGGCTGGGAGAACGCCGGCACCGTGTGCCAGTGCCCCAGAGCAGGGGTGGGGTGTGGCGGGGTCTCTGAAGGCTCCACTGTTCGGGGTGAGCAATACAATAACAACAGCTGCTTGCGGTCCAGGCCGGGCAGCGACAGGGTCAGCAATCTCAATGCCAACTGGCGATGACACTGGTCGTGTCACGTGAAAGCAGTGACAAAGGGACAGATGTGCTCTGTGTCTCCTGGTGCCTGCAGCAGTCCTGCCACTGCAGACCAGTGAGGGGCACAGGGCAGCATGGTGTGGGGCCCACCTCGATTCCATCACATGGCCCCTGTCTTGTCTGCTTCGTACAAACCCTGTACATCCCCCAACACACACACATGCTCCACAGATGTTCTGGGCTTTCACGAGGAGGAAAAACTCTACAAATAACACTTGAAGCTCAGAAACTGTGGATGTGCTGCCAGGTTGTAACGGGCCAGACTCTCTGCTGCCTACCTCAGGCTCCATGTAAGGCGGGAGTGCAAAAACGATGGCCCTGAGGCCAAGTGCAAACCTAGAAAGAGTTTGTTAGGCCATTGATTTAAAAATAAAATAAAATAGCCCTGGCCGGGTGGCTCAGTTGGAGCATCGTCCTGTACACCAAAAGGCGGCGGGTTTGATACCTGGTCAGGGCACATAGCTAGGTTTCGGGTTTGATCCTCAGTTGGGGCACATAGGAGAGGCAACAGATCTTTCTCTCTCTCCTTCTCTCCCTTCCTCTCTCTCTAAAATAAATAAAAATTAAAATAAAACAAAAATCATCGGCTCTCATCAGTTGTCATCATTTATAGTTCTGGGGAGCTCACCTAGAATGTTAGACCTCCAGTTTCCTTTGCTTTGGAAACCCGGGTCTCTACTCCCCCAATGAGCTGGGGTTGCAATGGTGGCTGCCCCCAGCTTCCTCTTTCCCACCACCTCCTTGCTAACGCATTGCTGCTAGAATGCCGGCCTCATAGGCTTTGAGTTTGGGTCTTCTGATCTCCAGATATTCAACTTTCTGAGGCAAGGGTCATCCTTTCAGTTGCCCAGAATTTAGCATGAGCTCCTACTCACTGCCAACTCATTTGAGTTCCTCAGAAATGCACATTGCATGGGCTCAGATAGCGGATGGACTTGGCACGGCCTCACACCCAGATGCTGTTAAGGGAGGGCCGGGACCTTGGGGATCATCTGGCTACTGGAGATCATCAGGACCCATCTGACTGATCCACCTCAAATGGACTTCCCCGGCAGAGGCCAGTCAGACGGGGCTTGGGAGTCAGACTGCATGCGTTGCCTCCTGCCTCCTTGCTAAAGTATTCACCTCATAGAACTGTGTGCGCATTAAATGAGGTAATACTTAAACAAATTTCTTATAGCATCTATAGTCCACGGTCCAGAGATGATCCATAGCTTTACTCAAAAATGTCCCTCTTATGTCCTCAGAAGCTGGACATATGAAATTTAAAAAGTACATCATTATTACAGACCATGTAAAGTTCTTCTGTGCCCGAATAGTTTAATAAGACATACATTTCTACCATAAACCTCTGTTCTAAATAATATACTATAGAGATACAGGAAGAGAGGGGACAGTGACAGCTAAGTCACTCTGGATCCACAACATGGCAGAATGAACAGAAATCTAAACCTTCCCTAATCCGTGGATTTACAACTTACTTTAGGGGCAGAAACCATTTCTTTAGCGTAATCCTGCCTGGAAGCCACTGAGGAGAGAAATGGGACAGCTTTGGTTGAAGTGGAGGTGAGGTCCCCAAACTGGGCTCAGGCCCCACGCAGAACAGTCACAGCAGCTGTTGCTAGGGACCGACCACAAGTCTTGGCAATAGCCTGTCATTTTATTAGTACCAGCAGGAGAATTAAGACCGTTCCTATCGCTGTATTGATAGAAAGGCTCATGCTAAGACCAAGATGGGCCAGTGACTGTATCCCCAGCACTGAGCCAAGTGCCTGGAGCCCTGGGCCCCAGCAGCACCCAGGTAGGCGTGATGGGGGCTCTAACCTGGGTGAAGCCTCAGCTTGAAGAGGTGAGCTATGTGTGGGGGGAGGGAGGGAGAGGGGAGGTGGGGGGAAGGGGGCAGGCAGTTGGAGGATGGTGATACTCTGCCAGCAGGGGGTGACAAAGACCATTATGGTTTAGACAAGGTACTAAGTATAGGATTGATTCTGAAGGTAGGCTAAACTGGGGGAAGTAAGCCTGGGCTTAAGCAAACAAAAGTAGTTGGGCTAGATGCCATCAAAAATCCAAGATGGAAGGGCTACTCTTCGAGCCAGGCATCTTGTTGAACTCAGTTCTTAGAAATTTGGGAGTAGTTGATATGAGTTTCAGAGTGTGATGCCTGAATTGCCTGCATCAAAAATACCTGGGAGCTTATTAAAAATGCAAATTCAGTCCTGGCCGGTGTTGCTCAATGGTGAGATGTATCAGCTGGCGCACTGAAGGGTCTCAAGTTCCATTCCTGGTCAAGGGCACATCCCTGGGTTGCAGGTTTGACCCCCCCCAGCTATGGTCGGGGCATGTTTGGGAGGCAATCAATTGATGTGTCTCTCTCACATTGATGTTTCTCTCTCTATCTCTCCCCCTTCCTCCTTCCCTTCTACTCTCTTTGACAAGCAATGGAAAAACATCCTCAGGTAAGAATTAACAACAACAACAACAAAAATGCAGATTCATGAGCCCCATTCTAGATCTGCTGACTCGGAATTTCCAGTAAGAGAGCCCATGCATTTACATCCTTCACAAGTTCCCCAGATATTCTGTGCAGGAAGAAGTCTGAGGAGCACCACACGCAGTCTCACTGGGGTTCCCCCCACCGGTGTCACACTTGAGCTTTGGTTGGAGATTCTGATTGAATAGGTTTGAACACATCTGGCAGGCAGGCAGTATCTGGGAGGAGACCTGAGAACTGAGATAGTTCCTGAGCTCTCCCCAGGTGATGTGCAGTGGAATGACTTACAACCATTCATAACTGACTGCGGAGTTGAGGGAAAGCCACCTGTCTCTCTGGTATGAATTCCTTTGGTTGATAACCTGCTGAAAGTGAAGATATCCTAATTAGACCTTAGAGTTCCTTGCCACTCCCCTTTTCAGTGTGTCTCATTAACCACCCAGGCAGCAGGAGGACAAAAGTTTTCCACAAAGACCTGTCAAGACATTCTTGGGAATACTGAGGTTGGTTGTAAAATAACTTGGATGCATTCACCAGGGTTGCTTTAAAAATAAAGTTCATTGAGGTATATTTTCTCATCAAATGTATGGTTTGATGAGTTTTGACAGGTACATGTTTCCATGAAACCACTGCAGTTAGGATAGGAAACATTTCTGTCATCTCTGAAAACTCCCTCTCGCCCCTTTGCAGCCAGGCCCCCACCCCCACCCTGGGCCCAGGCAACCACCGATATGCTTTCTGATGCTTTGAATTCACTTAGACTGCTCTAGAACTTGATATAAATGGGATCCAACAGTGTGTACTTTTTGGGTCTGGTTTCTTTGGCTCTGCACAATGTTTTTAAAATTTATTCCTAACATGAATTATTAGTGAATTATATTGCTCAGGGTATGACTTCGGCAGAAGGAGTAGGTTTCCGGGGTGATCAAGGGCGGGTTCCTGTGAATTGAAAGGGAAGTGAGAAGGTGGAGAGGATTGGCCAGGTGCCTTCTTTGGGAGCTTGGCTGGGAAGGGGAAGAAGTGATCACTCTGAGTGCTGGGAGTTTTCCCTGAGGCAGGTGATTTCTGGAGCAATGAGCACTTTGGGAAGGGCTGACCTGAGCTGCAGGATGTAAGAAGTGACAGAAGAAAGGGAAGTGCAGGGATGAAAGACAAACTGTACTAGGCAGACAGGCATGAGCAGTGAAGGAATGATGGGCCAAGTGCATATGGTCGCCAGGGCATAGAACCCTGGGTGCCTAGCAACAGGCAAAACTACAAGCCCTTGCAGTACAACTCCCTTCAGCATTAACCCCTGGAGATGACATCTAGGCTTCAGCTGTGTTTCATCTCCAGGCCCAGAGAAGCAGCAAAATCAGACAGAGGGACGCCATGGCTGACGTCAGGACGAGCTGTAGTGCTTAATGACCCCCTGACCTAGCATCGACCAGTCAAGAGGAGACCATGACCCTGAAAGGACACACCTGGAAAGCTGATAAAGATTCCACTGGGATCCCCCCCTGAGACCTCCAGATAAACACGCTTAGGATGGAGGACCCAGCTTCATCTCTGGAGCACACCCTAACCTTTCCTTCCTCTTTCATCTCTCTCTCTCTCTCTCTCTCTCTCTCTCTCTCCTATAACTCATTTCCTGAGCCCATTTTCCCCCCTATGGCTGTCTTCTTCTACTCCTGTGACTTCCTAAATAAACTCACTCTTATAATTCTAGTCTTGGCTCTGAATTCTTTCTTAGCCAGAGAGAGCTCCAGAACTGAGGTTGATGAACTGAGGTCTAAGACCTGTTGCCATTTTTCTCTGTTAACAAAATATCACCAGTCAGGTTTTTGTTTGTCTGTTGTAGTTTAAAAGTATGTCCAAAAATTATCGGATATTCCTCTCTTCAAGAGATAGAGCTTCATTCCCTGCCCCCTAAGTGTGGGGTGGACTTAGTGACTCGTGTCTAAGGAACAGAAAATGGAGGTGGATGGTGTATCACTTCTGACATCATTCCATGAAGATGCTGTCGCTTGTATCTTAGTTGCCTTCTTTGGGATCAGGGAAGACCTAACACGGTGGAGAATGAGGTCCTCTCTGGAGAGGGGGTGATTAAGCTGAGATTTTCAAGACTTAGGAGGACGTGGAGGTGGAGAGACTGCATGTACTATGGCCTGGAGGTGAGAGGACATGGCCCATTAAAGAACTCCATGAAGTCTCTTTGGAGTAATCTACATTTCACTTTCACCCAGATCTACCTGTATGCATTTATTTTTTATTTAGTGGTGCAGTTGCACTCAGATTCACAATGTAATAGGGATCTGTGTGCACTAATCTCCTGGAACTAATAATAATTAATACAAAGTTCTAGTACAAAATCTGGCCGAACTGGCTTTGTTGGTAGCTTGTATATCTGATCTTTATGTCTGAAATTATTCCATGGGAAGAGGTGTTCTTAGGTGACAACACAAGTCCCTAGGTTAGGGACTGCCTCTAACCTCATCCTCATGCTTTGATTGTGGTGGGACAGGTGGGTGGTGGGAGAAGATATACTGCTGTATTTTAATGAGGAAAACCTTTTCACTTTTCACAGTCCCCAAGTTAATACTCATTTGACATCTTTTGGAGCCAAAGAATCTACTCTTATCTGGCCAGGAAATTTCAACTAATCAAGACCACACGTGGCAGCTAAGATCTGGCAGGCTTATTTATATATGGGCATCAAGCCATCCTGACTATTCATATTTTCATGTAAATGCTTGTGAAGATGAATTCATTACTGCTGTGATCAACATTCTGCAGCAATTTCAACACTGCAGGCACAGCGAAGTGTGACTACGAGCCAGAGCCCCAGAGACCGGCAGCAAGCCTGAGGTACTGAGCTCCCCCCTGCAGCGGGCATTCTGATGTGGGACCGAGGGAGGGACACTGAACATGTGGCTTTGAGTCTGTTCTTCATCTGTAAGCTGGGAGAGAAGTGGCCTAGCAAAGAGAAGTTGATCGTCCCAGGAGCTTAAAGAACTACACGACAATGCTTCATTGAGACATCACGGGGACAACTTTGAACACATCTGGCAGGCAGGCATGGTGGGAGAAGGTGCTAAGAGTGCATTTAGGCAATAACTCTGGCAGACAGAGCCTCTAATTCAGGGTGTCCGAGAGATAGTCTCATGTTCACTGTCTACCCCATACAATAGCCACTAGAGACAGGGGGTGGCTTTGGGGTACTTGGCATGTGGCTAGTGAGATTAAGAAACTAATTTTTATTTAATTCTAATTAATTTACATTTAAGTAGTCACAACGGGCTAGTGGCTCCTGTACTGGACAGTGCAGCTCTAGGTAATGGGTCAGAGGATATGATTCTTTAACTGAGCTTCTTAAAGAATGGAGGTGTAACTTATTTGACCATCATTCTGGCACTCAGCACAACAGCTGACATACAGTGTGTTTTCAATAAATGCTTAACAGACCTTCAGCAGCCAGAAGAGGACTGACTTATAACCCAGAAGGTAGATTGTGAACGCTGTGTAGTTCATATTTCCCAAAGGGTATTTCAAACCTTACACCCACACAATGCTCAGGAGAGAAAGGATTCCCTGAGCAAACACAGCGACAAGCTCCAGCCTTGCTGGGAGGGTTAGGGTGCCCACCAGGGCACTAAAGAAACCGGAATACCTTTATTAACTACTTCCCATAGTTATTTGCCATGGAAACTCTTTTTCACGTAATCCTTTTGACATCCCTTAGAACTAGTAGATTCTGGGGAAAATACTTTGGGAGATGCTGCAGTAAAGACGGATTCGGCAGAAACTTACAATGGAGTCCTTGAAAGTAGGGACCTGGTTTTCAGCACATGGCCAGCATGTAGCATATGTGACTGGATGATTTAGAAATGACTGCCAGTCAAAACCGGTGGCAGTCTGTAAACCACCCCCACTCAGCAAAGGTAAAGAGAGAACAGTGGACGATTGGTAAGCCTGCTGTTCTTGGTGGGCAGTCCTGCAGAACCAGAACATAATCTGACACGTAAGAATTAGATGGAGGCAGGCAATAGCAAATTGGAACAGAAATAGTAAGAGTCATGAAAACATATTAATCGTTTTATAAGGCTCTGTAAGCAGTTAAACACTGAAAATTCACCCTAGCTGGTTTGGCTCAGTGGATAGAGCATTGGCCTGTAAACTGAAGGGTCCCAGGTTTGATTAGGGTCCAGGGCATGTACCTTGGTTGCAGGCTCAATCCCCAGTCCTAGGAGGCAACCAATCGATGCTTTTCTCCCCCCCGCCCCGCCCTGTCTCTAATAAAACAGGAATATGATTGAGACCAGGGCAGAGACATACTACAGAGTCACTTCTGGTCCTTGTTTTTGCTAATATCTTAGTAATAAGGGGTTGGAATGAACTGTAGACCCACACTATAGTTTCAGCTAAAACTTAGTTGTAGTTATTGCACACACACTTATACTCAAGTGTAATAAACTGTATACAGGCTATTCCATGGTATGAATTAATTTCTTTTCAACAAATCCCCTTTGTTCTCTTTTAAAACTTGAAGTCAGAAAAAACCAAAAATCTCTTCAGACCCAGTGAAGTAGAGAAATCTGGATGGGAAAAACGCCAATCAAAACCCTCGGTCAAGATCACTGTACTTTGGCAGTGAGGGGCCTGAGCAAGGCTGGTCCCCACAGGGCTGGACACGTCACACACAGGTGATCTGCAGGCTTCATCACAGGCTTTAGAATCACAAAGATCTACCTGCTTAAAATAGGGGCCCCCAAACTCCACTCTCTAGGAGGGAGCACCCCAGATTCAGGGAATCGTTTAGTCCAAGGTGACCACCCACGTCCAGCTCCCACAGTCACAGAAGAATCTGTGAGACCACTGTCTGCTCCTCTGAGCATCTCTGTCACCTTGGCTCCCTGAGGGAGCAGGGGGCAGGCCAGAGACGGGGAGAGCACTCAGACCCCAGGTCCTGGGAACACAGGTCGCTCGGCTTGCACATCTTCAGTCTTCGTTGTTAAGGCCTTTGAAAGCACGCAGTTTGATTTTTCTGCTGATTACAGAAGTGGTCATGTTTGTAATAGAAAACTTGAAAAGCCCAAACAGGTCTATGTAAAAAGCAAGCGTGCCCATCATTCCACCAAAAGAAAACCACTTCTGACACTTTTTGCCATATTTCCTTTCTCATCTATGGTGATGCTCACAGACAGTACTAATAAATAGATATGAGTAAAGTGATTTTCCAATACAGTTTTGAATTCTGTGTTTATTACTTAATACTATGTGCTGACAATATCCCCATTATTGTCTTCAACTCTGATTAATCATACTTTTGGCCCTGAGATAAGCCAGAGACCACATCTCACTCTGACCCAATAAAAAAAATCCCAAATAAAAACAAGACCCAAACAACCAAGCACCTACCATCCTACAAACCAGAAACAAGAGCTGTCTGGACATCAGCAAAGGTTGAATAAACAAGACTGACAAAGGCATGCGGCTGATGTTGCCACATTCCCAATAACCCAGCACAATGCAGTTCATTGAAAGCAACCCCACATTTCTTTGCTATTTTTCAAATTGACACTTTACAGTATGTCTGCCAAGGCTCCTAAAACAGTTTCTGGCAGGCTTTCCCACCCACCCATCTCTGGGCATCTGGGTTGCCCTGAACAACTACCACCAGCAGATGCCACACTGGACACACACACACACACACACACGCACACACACACCATCTAAATGGACAAAGTCCCTTGAATGCAATCTCCAGTTACTCTGTGCCAGGCGCACCTCCTGCTGGCATGGTGAGCTTTAATTCATGAAGGCCTCTCTAAGCAAAGAGATGGCCACCTTGAATGAAGGAGGACAAGGCTGGTAAAACACCATGTCAAAGATCATAATCTCAGTGAGACAAGCTGGGGGGAGGCTCTAGATATGCTCTCTCATAGATGGGGAAACTGAGGCAGCAGGACTTCACATGCCTTGCTCAGGGTCAGACAACTCACGTGGTAACAAAATAGTGGAAAAGTCAAAGCTCTTTCTTTTCAACACCCGAGTCCCCGTCCAAGCCATTTGGCTGGAAGTCAAGGAACCCGCCTGACAAGACGCAGCCCAGAGGCCTTTGCACAGATGATGTTTCAAAAGAAAAGGCCCTTTCAAAAGCCCCACAATGGCTCTCCATTGCCGGCTATTTTGGGGAGTAGCTCTGGCTCATGTGAGAAGCTCTGCTTCTTTTCACAGTCCTGACCCGATCTTGCCATGACAGGCCAACCTTGGCTACTGCGCTCACCCCAGCGTCTGCTGGGCCACCTCGAAGGGGAACACAGGGTGAGCATATGCTTGGACCTCGATGGGCTGGGCTGGGCCTTTAGGAGACAAGGCTTTCCAAATCTTTGCTATTCAAACTGTCTTCCCTCTGGTCCACCATTTTTTAAAAATATATTTTATTGATTTTTACAGAGAGGAAGGGAGAGAGAGATAGAGAGTTAGAAACATCAATGAGAGAGAAACATCAATCAGCTGCCTCCTGCACATCCCCTTCTGGGGATGTGTCTGCAACCCAGGTACATGCCCTTGACCGGAATCGAACCTGGGACCTTTCAGTCCGCAGGCCGACGCTCTAACCACTGAGCCAAACCGGTATCGGCTGGTCCACCATTTTTATAGCTGTGCTTTTGGTGCTAAAGCTGACAATCGTTTGGGGCATGA